CTGCCCTGCAAATGACACCAAAGAAGTGAAAACACCAAATTTATTTTTTTTTTTCTGTCTCTCTCCATTCCTGCCATGACTCCCTTGGCAGCTTGGTTTCTCCTCCCATTCCCAGCACTGCCAGACAACTGCCTCAGATCAGCACATGTTGATACTGGTGATGCTGGGCTAATGTCTGTCACAGGAGCATGTGGTGATTCATTCTTCCAGGGCCATGGGAGTCACTAATTTGAACTGTTACTGGCTTCTTTGGCAACACCCATGGAATGACACTGGAGTGTAAAGCTAGGATGGGACCCACTGTGTAAGGGAAGGACACAGAGCTGTCTCTGCAACTGATTGATTAACTTGAGCTCCTGTACTAAATTTCCTGGGTTCCCCACATGTCATTTGTTCCCTTCCCTCAGCATCTCCCACTGCTGACAATCCTCAGTGAAGTTGTGGAGCCACTTATCCTAGTGACAGTGGCATTCCTCTCTTTTTTCCTCATATTTGTTAATAGTAAAATATTCTTGATAGTGGTATGTCCAGTTACTCAGAAAGGGCTACCATGAGATCCACCACTAAAGCAACCACTAGATCAGTTGTGTGGCCTTTACTAACAGGGGTTCCCATGAAGCCAGTGGTACAAAACACCAGGAAAAGAAGTCTGAGCTCTGTAAGCATGCTTGGATTGTGGCACTGTCCTCCCGGTGTTCTTGAGGCTGGTATTCACTGATTGTTGCCTCACACACATAGCCAGAGCCTCCATGAGAGTCTCCTCCCCTCCCTGCCAATTTCACCCAGCTTTTGTCACTGGGCTGTCCATTCTGAGCGTGCCTGCTGTCAGTCACCTCACACAGATGTCCACAGGTGTGGACTGGCAGCTCCAGATGGGAGCAATCCAAGGCAGGGAGCAATCCAAGGCAGACTGTACCAGCTGCCAGGGAGAGGCACCAGGGAGAGCCTTATCATCTGCAGAGCCTCCCAGATGCCACTTCTGTTGACATTCACGTGCTGTTGAAGCGTGGACAGTGTTGGGTGTTGGGAAACTGGGCTTTGAAGGTGTCTGAGGGAGTGTTCCTGCAAGACAAGTAGACAGCCAGTTAGTCACACCAAGACACTGGTAAGTGTTTGGCAAAGACTTGCAGAGAAGGTCTCTCCCTCTGGCCCACATACACTTGTTTCTGGTAAGGGCTGGATGCCTGAGGCAGGGTACATCCCACCACACCCACGGAGCTTGACTAAACTGAGAGCCCAAGAATTTCCAATGGGCAACTCGCAACTCGACAGCCAAAGTCTTCAGAAACTTCTTCCGGGTGGTGGGGCAGGAGGGAAGCATGGCAGTACAGCCTTGTCCACCGTGCACTTCTCCCTCCCTCCCTTTCAGCCCTGTCCTTTCTCAATACCCAGGAAAGATTAACTCCTCTTCGCACACCAGAGAAAGTTATTATCATTAATGAAGAATTAAAAGGGAGTGATTAATAAAGGGCCCTTATCTGGCCATGAGGAGGAGGCTGGACAATGGGAGGAAGATGGAGAAAATGAAAAACAATAAATATGAAGCGTAAAAGGAGGCGAGCGCTGCTCCCACTTGTTAGATCGCAGCTGCATCTCCTGAGGGGGGAAGGCTCCAAATTGCTAATTACTGCCTCTGAAAAGACCTCGCTCTGATATGTTTTCTGCTGAAAGGTTCCCATTAATGAAGCAGCGATGATGCCGTTTCCCTTTGACTTGCCTTCAATTCCCTCCCTGAGCTTCCTCCCAAGCCGGGAACAATGAGGCCCTGGGAGCTGGCGGCTCCCACAGGCCTTTCGGAGACTAGGCCGGGGGCAGCCGAGTGAGGGGAGCCGAGCCGGCTGTGAAATATGGAGGGGGGAGATAAGGCAAAGACAGAGGAAAGAGGCTCACTCCCAGGAGCCCAGGGAAAATTTGCAGTTATTATGAAGGAGATGAGACAGATTAAAAGCCCTTGTGTTCTGCGCTGCCCTTTTATTTAGTGGCTTCATCTCCGAGATGAAAGAAGTTGGAAATGACTTTCTCCGCATTTTGCTACAAGAAGCTTCACGGCACATTTTTTGACTTTATTCCTCCCTTTGTCTCTTGTCCCCTTTCTGTCTCTCTTTTTCCTTTTAACCCCTGGAAGGTTTTGCTGAGAAGTGCCATGGGACCAGGCAGAGCATTTGCTGGGGTAGAGCAATGACCCTGCTGCTTTCCCTGTCCTACTGGGCCATACGGCTCCTGCTGCTCACCCGAGAGGGAGCTGGGCCAATGCACTGCCTGATGAGCGGCCAGCATCCAGCCAGCCTTTCTCTCCTGCTCGCCTCTGAAAAATCCCTCACCACTAACACCTCCTCTCCTGCCTCCAGGCCCAGCAACAGTGCAGCACAGGTGACCACAGCCTCTGGGCAGGAAAAAAATCTGTCTTTACAAAGCCTAGTGACGGCTAACAATCCATCTGGGATAAGAGTTCTGAACATTTTGTATGTTCAGAGCATTTCATGAGCCAACCTAGTGCTGAGATGGGCCAGTTCCCATTGTCCACATAGGCAACCGAAAAGTGCACAGGGAGTAAAGAATTTGCCAGGAACATGAGATGAAGTTGAATGCAGGCAAGGATTCAAAATTTACTGTTGCTGGCCTGTGTCGGGGAGAACCTTGTAATACTGGACAGAAATACCATTAACTTCTCAAAACCAGATTACCCCAACTGTCTCATTATGTTTCTTCAACTCCTATTCCCAATTTTCTGTATACATCAGTGCTCCTCTGCTGCACCTTCTTAGTTTTTGGAACTTTTGTAATTGTAAGAGCACTTTCATCCTGTCTCTTGCTTTTGCCCTATCTCTCTCCCAGAAAATCAACTAATCTGTTGTACACCAGTCTGTTGTCTTCACTCAGGCCAAATGCTGACATCTGCTGAAATTTGTGTTGGAGTGTTAAAAATGGGGGAAAAAAAATGGACAGGTGAAGTACAATTCATACCAGTTGCAGAACAGTTTGGTGACCTACAGAAACAGCAGAGAACTAGTTGGGAAAATGAGGGGAAAATAAGAGAAATTAGAGTGGGCATCTGCTGCCATGTCCCCAGGACATCTGAACACAGGATTTCTTGTACACAATTGTTTGTCTGGTTTGTTATCCTGCCTGGAACGGCAGCCAGTACCAATTGCTTGAAATGAAGGGCTAAGAAGCTCTGAAGTGGATGTTTACAGAATAACCTTCCCATCAGGGGAGTTTCTCTCTAACCCATACATTTTGTAGCTGTTTTATATCCTGAAGCATGAAAAGGGATTGCAGCGGTGAAACAGGATTAGATTTTAGGAGGGATTTGCTCTCAGATCTGAGAGTAAAAAGAAACCCCCTGTATTGGCAATAGGAAACTGGCAAGGAAAACAAAATACTGCCAGCAAGTAAGGTGAGTTACTGCCATAGAAAGGGTTAAAAAGACAAAAGGACAGAATTTTACAGGCAAATTGGTGCACAGAAAGTAACTTTAATCAAGTCAGCTATTGGAAATGGGATACAAATTATCTACCTAATGACTATTTTTCTTCTTTTAATATTTCTTTTCCAAGGAAATTTGTTAGATAAATAAAAGGTAATGAAAATGTTAATATTACAGCTCAGACCAGCATAAAGGACTGGTTAGATAAACAGCACGTAGAAAACTCAGCAAAGCTAAACGAAGCTTGTCCTATTGGGGTGCAGGAATCAATGGCAAACTCAAGGATTCGGTTATTTTTGAAGTATCTTGACAAACTAGGGAGGGTGCCAGAGGACTGAGGAAAAGCAAGCGCCTTGCCAGTCTTTCGCAGGTCGGGGGAGCAGGGAGGAAGCAGTGATCTTGGCAATTACCGCCCTTTTAGAATTACTTCTGATCCTGGCAACACGATGGAATAAACGGAAGTGGGGGGAAAAAAGTAAAAATGCAAAGGGTAGGAGATTTATGAGCAATAAGAAGCAGCATGCATTTACAGAGAACAAATCACATTGAGACAAATCTGATTACTTTCTCGACTGGATTTACGAAATTAGTGAAGGGAATACTACAAAGTATGGACTTTTGCAAAACTTTTGGTATGCTGCCTCCTAAAACGCTACTTCAAAAACGAATCAGTATCGGCTTGAATGTGAGTGCAGATACCTGAGCTGCAAAAACAAACACCCCTCTCAAACAAAAAAACAACCAACCAACACAAACCTCCGAAAAATGTCTCCGAAACCAAAACAAACCGAAACCAAAACAAGCCAAAAACCAACAAGAACGACCCCCCCCAAAAAAACCCCCCAAAACAACAACAAAAAAACCACAAAAACCACCAAAACCAACAAAAACCCCAAACCAACCCAACCAACCAACCAAAAAAACCAACCCGCAAACAAACCCGAAGAAACATCATGAAAACTGAGAAATAAAAAGGACTGCTAAGCAAAACTGGATGGTGGAAGGGTCGCACCGAGCTTTATTCTGATGGCTGCTGGTGATACGTAAAATGGAATGGCAGGAATGGAATGGAATGGAATGGAATGGAATGGAATGGAATGGAATGGAACGGAATGGAATGGAATGGAATGGCAGGAAAAGAGATGCAAGGCTTAAGGAGAGGGGATTAACACTGAGAGGTTTAATTCAGGATATACACAATTAGCCAGCAGCGAAATGGAGGAGTTTGGGTACAGAGTTTATTGGTTGTCTATTAAAAATAAAATAAAATAACCAAGCAACTAGTGGGTAAGCATATGGGAAGGGCTGCGCCGTTAGCGGGTAATGGATCTGTAATGTCTCCACCAGCGGCGCCAACCGCATCGCAAACAAACAGAGGCGCAATGGACACTGGCCACCCGGGCTCGGAGGCGGGGCGGGGGCTGGGCTGGCCCGGCTGGGCTGGCCCGGCTGGGCTGGCCCGTCGCGGCCGCCAGGGCTCTGCGGGCTCGGTGCCGGCACTGCCGCCCCCCGCCCTGCCGGCGGACCCGCCCTGCGGGCGGGGCGGGCGGAGCGGGCGGAGGAAGTGGCCCGGGCAGGCCGGAAGCGGCGCTGACGAGGGGCTGGCGGAGCGGGGCGCTGGCAGGTGAGCGGGGCCAGGGGGCCTGGCGGGAGCCGAGGGGGACAGGGCGCTGAGGACAGTGTTCCCCGCGGGGCGGGAGCCTGTCGGGCAAAAGCAGCAGCTTCTCCCCAGAGGAGTGGGTCGGTGCGGCCGGGTCCCTGGCGACTAAGGGAGGCGGCCTGCGGCAGCGGGTGGTTCACCGGGATGGGGGTGCCTGTGTTTCTGAGCCCGGTGGGGAGAGAAATCCCACGTCTGCAAGGCACAGAGAGGGAGAGGGAGGTTGTGAGGAGAGGGATTTGCCCAGGACTTTGGGATTGGCACACTGGCAGCCCTGAGGTGGAAGGGATGGGATTTTTCGGCAGTAGGAGTTTGGGCTCGGTCTCGTACACCCTGTTATAAGGAGCACAGGGTCCCGCGCGCCTTGTTTTGCTGTTGAGTGATATTGGCCTGCAAACTACCTGTTTTACCATCTCTTTTACTCTCAGCTTTGCTGTTTGTCTCCTTTTTGGAAGATGCAATCTGTTTGTCGAGCAGGCTAATCCTTCTCTGTGGCTTAAGTACTCGAGGTAGCAGACTAGTTGCAGGCTTCCATACCCATAGGATGTGTAACAGAGCATTCTGTTTCAACACAAAAGATGCAACCTTAAGGCCTTTTCAGACACAGAGCACTTGACCCAACTGCTGCAGTAGCGAGATCTCTGCCACCAAGGTTAGAAGAGGGATTTAACCCTTGCAAAAGGAAGGAGTGTTAGCCCAAGAAGTGGTAGTTGTCCTGCATTGGCTCCTCCCAGGCAACTCTAAAGTAAGTGTCTAACTTAGTTACAAAGGCTATAGCATACTACAGTCCAGTGATATGTTGGTAGCAGTATTTGTCTGGTGGTAATTGTTTGCTGTCATTTTTCACAGGCGTTGCCAATGGATGAACTGGTGCATGACCTGGCCTCAGCCTTAGAGCAGACTTCAGAACAAAAGAAACTGGATGAGCTATGGGAAGAGATGGCACTAAGCCCACGGCAGCAGCGGCGTCAGCTCCGCAAGAGACGGGGTCGTAAGAGACGCTCAGACTTCACACATCAGGCAGAGCACGCCTGCTGCTACAGCGAGGCCTCGGAGTCCAGCTTGGACGAAGCTGTCAAGGATTGCCGTGAGGTGCTGACAGCTAATTTCAGTGACTCTGATGACATGGCAGTGGTCAAACGACACCCAACTCTTAGTGCCACCCTGAGGAGCAAACAGCACCTGTGGCATGAGTCAGACTCCTTTACAGAAAATGCACCCTGTCGACCTCTCAGGCGCCGAAGGAAAGTCAAACGTGTGACATCAGAGGTGGCTGCCAGTCTCCAGCAAAAGCTCAGGGTGTCAGAGTGGAACTGTGAGAGGGGCTGCAGGTTTAAGTCAGCCAAGAAACAGCGCCTTTCACGCTGGAAAGAAAATGCCCCTTGGACATCATCCAGTCATGGCCTTTGTGAATCAGGAGAGAACAGGCCCTTCCTCAGCAAAGGAGGAAGGAAGGAGCGGATGGAGTGTGAAGCTGATGATCAGAAACAGGGCTCAGATGAAAACATGTCAGAATGGTGAGATCTCAGTTTCTTCCCTATGTTAGTCAGATGGCTGCCTTGCTTGCAGCTGCTTGTAAATCCTGTGCCTTGCTTTTTGAAGTTCTTATCAAAATTATTCAGTGCTGCTCTCTTTTTGAAGAGGAGAAGTATCTCAGCTACTTCCAAACTGTAGATTCTTTCCAAGTCTTTCCTGTCAATGATGTATAATGTCCTGAGATGCTTCCTTGATAAGTTGAAAAGCTGATATGTTTCTGGCTCCTGTTACACAAGGAGTCCTCTGAAATGTATGTGGCCTTGCAGCTGCAAAGTGGCATGCTTGTGGCCTGTAATTTGGAGAGTAAATTCACTTGTGTGATTGATATGAACTGATCACAGTTTTTTGTTTTCAAAATTTACCATAAGCAGTAATAGAGAACAGATCAGACCTCCCATCATTACTGCTAGCCCTCTGTGCAGGTGCTGTGTGAACCTCAGTCTAAACATCTTGTTTGCAGTTCCACATCTCTGCTCTGATCTGGTCCTGAAAGGCTAGCTATAGGGAGAATGTAGTGAGCTGATGAAGACGTTGAGGAGAACTTGGCATTACTTACAGGATAAGCCTGTGTCTGGTGTGTCTTCATGTCCAGTTTTGGAGAACTTTGATGAATTTGTGTCAGAATTTCAGAAAGGATTAAAACGAGACATTTAAATGTCACGGTCTGAATTTAAAAAAAAAACTTGGGAGTTCAAAAAACTTGGGAAGTTTTTCCCTCGAGTGTGACTTTTATTCTTTTTGTAGAAGGTTTGGTGTTATAAAACTGCTTCTGTCTGAAGAGATTTTTCAGGTTAGAAGAAAAGTAACTGCTGAGAACCAAATGGAGGACATTTCTTAATTAATGGCATACAGAAAATGGATGTGATTGTTTATTTTCTAATTATCACTGTGTAAGAAGCAGCAGACATTGAGGAAACACGTAAAACAAAACAAAAAAAACCCATGAGATTTGGAACTCTACTGCAGGATATTTTGGAGGTCAAAGATTAAGTATGTTCGAAAGTGGGATGTGGAGCATAGATTTATCAGGATCTGTTAAACATTACAGCCCAGATGAAAGATCTGGCTCAGGAAGTCCTTAAACTGCTAACAGCTAGAAGCTGGAGGGGTATACAGAGGAGTCTGCATTTGTCATGTTCTCATGTTCTTTTCTTAGACCATCCACTGTAATAGGCCCTATCAGACAGAGGGCAGTGCATTTGGAAAGTATAACTGCTTGATCCAGTATGATTGTTCATATGCTAAGGTTCATTTAAGTGTTCTGACAGTCTAGGTCCTGCAGTTTATCAGAGTGGACAGGTGGCACTTCGTTATTACAGCTTCGTGGATAACAGCTGGAAGCACAAACTTCTCAATGGTATTTACTGGGACATTGTGAAGAGCTTAGGTTGTAATAAGTCCTCACTGTCCTGGTCCAGGGAACCTCCATTGCATTTTTACTGGGTTAGCTTAGTTTGTATGTAACTGTTACAGGCTGGAAGTAGCAAAGAAGTGGTCACTTTTTTCCTTTAAGAGTGGCTATTGTTGCTAAAAAGTGGGTGCAAAGTGTGTCTTTGCAAGAGATTTGTGGATGCCTTTTTGTTACTAGTTGTTAAAAGCAGTGTTATCTTTTCAGAGCTATTTGTTAGTATTCCAGGAAAAGAAATGTGCTGAGTAGCTCCTGAATGTTACATGTCAGTGGTGATGGACTGAGAGATACCCTTCCTTGATGAGGCAGTGATGGACAGTGTTCCTTGAGTTGTTTGGTGGGGTGCTTTTTGTGTTTGTTTGTTTTTTTTTCCCCCACCAGTCAGAGCCTGTTGCATCATGTCAGAGCTTTGTTCTCTCTCAGTTGTCCCTTGCTCTCAAACTAATTATTGTGCAAGTGTATGCACCAAGTGACACTTACCATCTGCTGCCAAATCCTTGGGATTCTCTCCAGAAAGCTAGGGCTTGGAATATTTGACCTCTGCCACACCGCATGTGTGATCTCTGCTATGACTCACTAGGGAGGGTCAAAGTGGGAGGGAGAAATACATAGAATCCTCTTCACTGAGGAGTATCCCTCATGGCAGTGAAGGATCATGCTTTGGTCTCTGCTGCTCTAAATATAGCACTTTGCTGCTAGCAGCAGAATGAAACTGGCTGCGCTTACCTCACTCCCACTGTCCTCTAGATGTTTTTTTCTGGTACAGTAAGAGAAGTACTTTGCACAGATGTATGACAAGGGCATATCCTGAGGAAGGGAGAAGAAAATTGGACGCCTAGGGGAGTGAATGGTGTGGTTGTCATCACAAGGAAATGTGACTGATGCTGCTTGCAGGACTTGGAAGCAATCTGTGGTGATCTGGTGATTTACAAAACTTTCATACTGAACTGGTTCACCACTGTTAACTCTAGCAGTAGGGAGTGTCACAAACACAACGGTTTTCAGGCAAACTAAGCAGTATATTGAGAATGGTTGTTTTTTTCACCTTCTTTTTCCTCCTCTCCACTGACACTTGCTTTTCTTTGTTATGCAGGAATGAACCTGCAAACGCTGAAATATCCAGTATTTTTCTCTGCTTTATAGAAGGCTTTTTATCCTAAGTTAGATCAAAACCCTGTTGTATTCAGTCGATACACTCCCATTCACTGAGAAAGTCTTGAATATGAATGCGTAACGAGGAGGTAGTTTTTTATAGTTTGCTCGTGGGACTGCTCCCAGTCTTTTCCTGGAGGAAGATGAGCTGCAGTGTTACGATTCAACATGTGCATGAAATGAAATCTTTGAAATTGTTTGCCAAACGTGGCAAGAGGTGAACACAAATTGTGAGAAGGAAGGATGTGCAAGAACATGATGAGGAAATGATGATGGTTTTGATTGGGTAATGACACGACTCAATGTCTGATCTATAAATAATTGTGGAAACAACAGAGGAAGCAAGTGGTTTAAGTAGTCATTTGTATATTTGTACAAAGGTGACAGTTAACTGCTAAGACTGTTAGAAGCAGCGTGCCCTTCTGTCCCTTAATGCTTTGAGATTCCCTGCAGCCATAATAAAGCAAAGGCAAATTATATATTGAGTGCTGAAGTTCTTTCTCGTGTTGGTACTTCCAGGTCTGGGTTTGGTTTGAGGGCAGAACAAATCATAGTACAAGAGCTGTCTGAAAAAATCACTTTCAGTGGTGTGCTTACTAGTGAATGATGGGCAGTTGCTCTCATCTGTTTTCAACTGCCAGAACTTTTAGTGTGACTTTTTCGAACTGGGGATTCTACTGGCCCAGCAATGCTGTGAGATTTTACTGGTTTAATGCTGATGTGTTTGTTGTGGATTAAACTGGATAGGCAGCTCAGCCCCACATAGCTGCCTGCTCACTCCCATGCAGTGGGATGGAAGAGAGAAATGGAGGAGTAAAAGTGAGAAAACACACAGGTTGAGGTAAAGTCGGTTTAGTAGGTAAAGCAAAAGCTATGTGCACAAGCAAAGCAAGATAAGAAATTACCTACTATCAGCAGGCAACTGCTTCTGCCATTTCCAGGAATGCAGAACTCCATCATTTGTAACAGTTATTTGGCAACACAAATGCCATAATTCCAAATGTCCCCTGATTCCTCCTTCTTTTTCCCAGTTTTTATTTCTGAGCATTACACCATATGGTATGGAATATTCCTGTATTCAGCTGGGGTCAGCTGTCACATCTGTGTCCCTTCCCAGCTCACTGGTGGGGCAGTGTGAGAAACAGAGACAGCACTGGCACTGTGTAAGCACTGCTCAGCAATAATTAAAACATCAGTGTTACCAGCATTAGTTTGATCACAAATCTAAAACATACAACCACAGAGCTACTAGGAGAAATATTTAACTCTATGCCAGCTGAATCACTACAATATTCTGGCCTGAGAGTGTAACCATCGCTCATCCTGGGTGTGCAGTTAAGTTGCTTTACCCTTTGGAAGGGAGCTGTTTTGATGACAGCCTGCAGTGGCATTCAAGAGTCTGGCTAAGCTGATGAATTGGAGGCCGGTTTCTCCATAAAGAAAAAATTCCTCTCTCTTGGAAGGCAAGTGACAAAGACAGAGTGTTCAGCTTCCCCTCCTTCTCCAGCCCAGCCTGACCTTCTGCAGCCCCTCGGTGCCTCTTGTTTTCTTATTTTTATAGAAAATCAATATCCCTTCTGACACAAACAATAGCTCAGGCAAAAGAATAAATGGGGGAAACCTGAGATCTCTGTCCATCACCTCTCACTTTAACTCCCCCAAACTATTTAATTATAAGCATGCTTTGCTCCAGGTGTTTCTGACAGTGAAATTGCTAAATGAGGACCATTTTAACCAAAGATTGGGTGATCAATAACACTCTATAGCAGTAGCTTGTTGGATCAATAGCATTCATTATTTCATGGTTAAGGTAAGTAGCCTCCTTTGCAAGTGGAGGTCATTAATCAGTGCTTACTGGACCTGCAGAAAAGCTTGTGTAGGAGTCTAGTTTGTGTTCAGCCCTGCAGTGTAAAAGGGGTGGTGAAGAGGATGAGATCCCCGAAAGTTTGTTCCAGTAAAGCACTGGCACTGATGCTTATCTATAAGGAATTGAAGAGCTCTCCATGCAACAGGATGCTTTAAGTACTGTTAATGTGATCTGGAATCTTGACAATGCTTTTTCCTTTCTCAGGCACCTTTCCTCTGAGGATGCTAAAACCCTCATGAAGCAGTCACTTGGTCCTCACATCTGCAGCTTATGAGGACTGTTAATCCAAGCTATCAAAAGGGAAAGCAGACACGCTAAGAGATTGGCCCAGGGTCATACAGTGAGTTGGTAGGAGAGCTAGGAATGAAACAATTAATTCATGGTTTTCAGTCCTTGGCCTTAATTGCTATGGTGTATATGTGGGAGGGTGAAAGAATGGCCAAGCTTTGTAATGGGTTAATTTGGAACTTGATAATAACTTAAATACCGAAATGTGAGAATGATATACAATTTGTTCATCTTTTAAGTATAAATGGCTCTTACAGAATGATGAAGATGCAGAGTTTGTATATATCCAGCATGATGAGTTGACTTGGCTGTGCTTTAGGGTGCCTTTTCTAAGAGCAACAATAAGGTCACAGAATGGTGTTTTTATTGTGTGCCTGCAGTTCTTTGGGGTGACATATTTTGTGGTCCCTCATCATTCTGCCTTTTGAACCAAGGGGTTTCCAGTTCATACTGCTGTCTAGTATGATTGAGTTTCCCTGGAGAAGAGGGATCCAGAGACACTTTCAAACAGCATGCCTAGAAGGGATATTAATTCTAGTGCTGAGGTACACCACACGTTTGCATCTAAGATCTTAGTGCTACAGGAGTAGGCAATAAGTAGTTTCTGCTTGTCCTGGTATGTCTTGGCTAAATTGAAGGAAGTACGACCTGAAGTGTCCAAGGATTGATTTAATATCAGCATTGAAGCCATCAAATACTTGATATTGACGTGAGCATGTACTTCTACTATGTACATTCATCCAGCTCTACAGTCATTTAATGGCTTTCTACACATTAATTATTAGCTTTATTCTTTTGTTCAAGAATTAAGAGTCTCCCTTAACTGCTTCAGTAAATGCAAAGTGTGCTATAATAAGGTTGCATTCAGCAGCAGCAAGTCGTGCTGTGCTAAGGTATTTAGCTGAAGAGTTGTAAATATACCAACTGTTCTTCACTCCAAACAGAATAAAAGTTGCTGTTGAAGGAAGGGTTTGTGTATCATTGTAACATTTTTGAGAAAAAGGAATCTCAAGTAGAGAACTTCAGAGGGTTTTCAGTAGCTGTTAAGTGACCCAAGGACAGAGTTTTTAACTGCACTTAATTTCCTGGTGAGTATTCCAGACAATGTCATAGTTAGGTTATTAATTCTAGTACCCGAGGCAAATGCCATTGTATTAATTACTTTTTGATAACTTAGAACTAAACTGGATACAGGACTCTACTCTTTCTCAAGTGATGCAGCATTGCTAGGTTATAACAGAAAGCAGTTAATGTAGAGCGAGTCATGTATCTGAAATGCAATTTTCTGAGACGTGTAAAGTGTTTTGGTCTTGCAGAAGCTAGTAGAATGTAGTAAAGTGGTTTTTGTTTTGTGCCTGCCACAGTTGTAACCATGTGGTTTTTTATTTTGTTTTTTTGTTCCAGTGAAACCAGCAGTGTATGCAGCAGCAGTGATACTGGCCTGTTTACCAATGATGAGGGCCGCCAAGGTAACAACTGTTTTGTGGTTTTCCTTCTGTGCTGCTGGGGAATTTTTCTTCCTTTCTTTACAAGTACAAAGAAAGGTCTATGTTTAAAGAGGGACAAAGAGGGAAGTGTGGGAGAAAAGCCAGTGTCAGGGAGGGGCTAGAAGTTAAAAAAGAGATGAGGGCTGCAAAAATGTGATTTTGATAACAGTACACTCTTCCTGCTGAAATACTTTGTATATCAGATCCACAATATTTGCAATATAAGAAGCTATTATTACGAAAAGGTACAGAAGTACAAGGGGAATTTGAGAGCTCATAATGGAAGAACACAGCTTATGATTTGTTTCTATAGGTATCTTAGTTGTTGTCCACACACCATTAGTGACTGAATCTGTTAGTTGTTTTCTCTTTGGGTAGGAAGAGATGTGGAAAAAAAAAATTACTTTATACTGATAAGTCACCTAATTGTGCTAAGAAGATGACAGTAATACATGATTGGTTTTATTTCTTTAAATACATGTACTTCCCTTGCCCTTGTGTGCATTAGTTGAACCTAGTATTTTCAATGCCTGTCATAGAAATTATTTCTTAGGAGTTTTGAGTGTGAAGTGTAATCTGGTTTTATTTATCAGTGACAGCACAGTGTCCAGTTTATGGAGATATGGCAGAAATAAGTATGAAATACATTGTACTAGGCATATAGGCACTCAGGACTATATTTGGAGCATGTGGACTGTGACCCTAGAGACCTGCAATTCTGTGCACTCAGATTCTGTTACATTTACCAAGCTAAGATTTGGATGAAATCTCTTCTGGGAATATACACGTGCTAAGGAAAGTAGCATCAGTAGCTCAGTAGAAATGCTGCTTCCAGTAGCTTGTTACTGTCCCGGGTATCTGTGAGTGAGGCAACACAATGATAGCAAATATGCTTACGTGTTTTCTGATGATATTTTAGGCTGTAGGGTCAATCTGATCTCCATGGCTATAATTAGGGATTTCAAATATCAACTTTGACCTTTGCTGAAAAATAACTGTTTCCAGCCTCTGGTTCTTCAAAAGCAACAGAAAAGTAAAATTTTTTTGTCTTCTCTTTTTACTGATGGCTGTTCAGGGGGGAGCTGAAATCAGTGAGCACTTGTATATCAGTTGATAAAGCAGAGTGGTGACTGAAGTATTTTACTTCATCACCCAAGGCAAGATTGATGTAGACCGGATACTCTCTATATATACTTGTCTATATGCTTGCTCTATATACTTGCCTGGTTTTATAATCTGTTTTAGACATTAACTTTTGGCTGCTACTAGAAGTAGTACTCAATATACAAGAACATGTAGAAATGCAACTTAGATAAATTAATAAAATCCAATTACAGCCTTACCTGTTTAGGTACTAGGAGAGATTTGGCATCCTAGTCTTCAGGTCTCTATCTATTTAAACAGTTTATACTGTGATAGCTTTCTGGCCAAGATATGTTAACCGTTAGTTTAAAAGGGTTAAAAAATATTCTTGCACTTTCAGGCTAAATAAGAAATATTTCTTTCCCTTTTTTTTTTAATTTGGAGTATTTTTATTTATAAAGTAAATAAAAAAACAACAGGTCTGTATGGTTAGTGAGATGGGGAGAGCACAAAATTACTTTCGTCACAGATCATCTTCTTAGAAATAGTTTTCTAGTACAATTCCAAACTGAATAATGGGAAATTTAAGTTAGCAGCATACTTAAATTAATGTATTTTTTCCCTTCCTTCTTTTGAAGTTACATCATGTAATATTTTTGCTATTGCTAATTAAATGAGTTATCTTTGCAATTACACATACCAGCACACTCCTATGAACAGAGAATGGTCCTAGTTTATAATTTGATTGTAGGGTGGGTTTTTTGTTTTGTATTTGTTACATGCATTGGGATCTCTCACAGTGAAAATTACTGCATATGATCCTGATTGTTAAAGTTTGTCTCATGAAATATGAAAGTAGGGATTTGAGATATGACACTGCACTATGCTCATAGACCCAAAACTGTAAGGGATAGTTTTGCACAAATTATGACCACTCAGAAGAACTATGCAACACTACTTAATTTTAGTTTACCAGGAGGTGCAGAAGGATGTTTATATTTTAAGATATAAGTGGTAGGTCAACTGATATATCACAGAAATAAAAAGCAATGTCAGAGCTTTGGGCTGAAATGCTCTGTCTGCCCTACCTGTTGCAGATTGGAGTTGGTTTTGTGTGTTGCTGCTTCTGTTATGTGCAAGATTGCAGCATTCGTACTAGGATGAGATTTTCTTACTTTCTTGTACTGTTGGATTTGTTTGTTTGTTTGTATTATTTTAGGGGGTGTGCATGTTTTTTTTTTTCTTTCTCTTTTTTCTTTTTTTTTCTGGCAAGATGTGTGGGCAGGCATAATAGACTTTGGTCAGGAGTAATGTAACTTGGTGAGGAAAGGAGAGTAAGTGGGGATGCCTCAGCTGAGACTTAATGGTAGGTAAATGAGAGTTTTTCCTAAGTCAGCTGTGTTAGTTTTTTAAGGCAAGATGAAGGACCTTTCAATTACATAGGACTGTTTGTTAGTGGGCTACTCAAAAGTTACGTGTATCAGGTTCTTTGCCTTTCTCCTCCTTTTTTCATACACTGCTCATGGGCTACCACTCTTGGGGAGTTTCTGGCCTGACAGATTTACTATGAGTGGTGTCTGATGCTGTTCAGTTTTAGACTGCAGCTGCGTTAATTAGTGACACAGCTTTATGGAGACTTTTGTCATGACTTCTGTTGCTGCTGCTTGTGTTTTGCAGAGTGTTTGTAGTTCTGACAGATTCTAAGAAATTTTGATTGAGAGGAACTCACAGCATGGTTAGTGCTTACACTCAGAGTGACCATTTCTGATAGTTATGTGTTTTTCTCTTAGCTTCTGTCTTAGGAGAGTAGGGATCTTTCTCATCAGTGAGTATGCTGCTTTTGCTTACTCTGTGAGCCTGGTCTTTTCCTCTTGTGAAATCTCTCCTGTGACTGCCTATAGCGTGTGCCAAATGATTGGCCTCTACCACTGTCACAGTAATTACTTCAGAGAAAGAGCTCTGCATAAGACATCACACAACACTGAACTAAGGTTGATGAGATGCAGTAGCAACAGAGTGCTAAAGCTGCCCTAGGCAGGTCTATAAAGAGGACTTTGTTCTATAGGGAAATTCTGTAGACTGATGAGTTGGATAGTTTAAAGCATTTAGAGAGGCCCCATAGTTACTGAGTATCATTGAAACAGAATACAAATATGAGGTACTTCAGGAAGGAATTCCTAATGAGACTTCAGCTGTTTCACATCCAAGTATTCCTATTTGCAATATTTTGAGGGATTGTCATAGGGCACATTGATGTTTTTTGTGGCTAATTCCATCCTGTTTCTTTAGGAGATGATGAGCAAAGTGATTGGTTTTATGAAGGAGAATGTGTTCCAGGATTCACTGTCCCCAACCTTCTTCCTAAGTGGGGTGCTGAACACCGATCTGAAGTGGAGAGGATTGACTCAGGCCTGGACAAGCTCTCAGTTTCCACGTTCCTTTTGCCCTCACGGCCAGCTCAGAGAGGTGAGATCCATCAGGAATGCCATGTGTTTGAGAACTTCTTCTGTGATGGGAGGAGTAGGTTCCATTTGTAGGTGTTACTTTTAAACTGGTATTGGTGATCTGTTTTGGATTTTTTTCATGATCCAGTTAAAAAAAGTTGCACTATTGGAGAGTTTACTGTAATACTCCTACCAGCTGCCCACATTCTTGAGTCTTCTTTTTTAAAAAATAAGGATTTTATTTGATTTGTGGATAAATTGGCAAATCTACACCTTTGAGACTGGAAAACAATAAGCAGAGGATTTGATTACTGAACTAATGATTTTTCCTGGTGGTTTTGTCAGGAAGAATCGTCTGTGTTCATTGCTCAGTTTTTCTGGGTTTGGTTTTCAGGATTTCATGCTCGCCTGAATCGCCTTCCAGGAGCTGCTGCCCGATGTCTCCGAAAAGGTCGGAGGAGGCTTGTTGGCAAGGTATGCCCTTTTAAAGATGATAATTTTGTATTTCCAATACTGATCAGTCTTGAAGTACTATTCTAAGGTATCATGGAAATTGTCTTCTGCAGAAAGTGGCCCTGTAAATTTTTTGTTTCGTGTATTGTTTGATTTGTTTAACTGCTTTGGCTCTCAGAAATTGATTGAGTGACTAAGTGGATTTTAAGGCATGTTTGGGGTGGCAAAGACAGTCGATGAGCACTGAAACGAGTATGAAAGGAGGCCTGAAGGTGAATGAGAGAGTAAATAACAAGAGCATTTAGACAGAACGTAGGGGGAAATGGTGATAGCATGAGACTTGTGCATGCTCATCTGAGACTACAAGGGCAGAGAGGTGGCTCAAAGGTGAAGGAAGGCCAAATTTTAGATAGGGAAGCTGACTGATATTAATAGCAGCAAAGGAAGGTGGTTTTAGTGGTGGCATTTGTAGTGGGGTGACAGAAGAATAAAAGAGTATATGCAGTAATGTAGACAAAGCTACCCAAAGCCACTGACTAGTGTTATCATATGTAGGGCAACCAACATACAAAATGTTTTTCTAAAGGAATAAGCAATACTCTACAGATGACTGTTTAAAAGGAGGGATACATTTGTTTGGGTCTGCATCATGGAGCATTGACTGCTGTGTTTTGTTGTAAAGAAGTTTCTGAGAAGGAAGGTGTTGGCTGTGTTTGGCTTGTCTCTTGCAATGTGCTTTGTGCTTTTGAAAATATTGGCATAAGTTCTGAGCTGAGTGGCCATAGAATCTGCTAGCAAGGTGTGTTAGAGGGGCCTAGGGTCTAGAGGAGTGTGACAGTTGCCTTCAGTTCAGTTATACTTGGAAGATCCTTGTTTGCCCCTTCTTTCTTCCCCTCACCTTGCTTAGTTGTAACCAGTGTTTAAAATGCAAATCCTCAGCTGGCAAGAGACTGGTTTTGGGTAGGGTTCCTCAGGCCACCTGCAAGTGGCTGGGCCTGGCGGCACACCTCTAATGATCCAAATGAGAAGGATAATATTTACTTGTTTAATTCATCTTCATCACCTTAAAGGGATCTTTGTCATTTGCAGCGGAGGTCACTGCTCCCCCTTCCCCATCTCTCGAAATTGTAATCATAAATAATGAGTTTCATTCAGAGCTCCCCGCCAGCGAGCTGCTAATTACCAAAAGTACGGCTTGTAATTTACACAGTAATAAACCGTAAATTTAAACATTATGGCACTTTAAGTTAATAATTTTCCTACTGTAACAAATAGCCCATCTTTCACCCCTGCTGCTACAACTGCCCCCAAACTTTGAGTGTGTTTTGCCTATGTACCTGGCACAAATGAACCATACCTGTGAAAGACTTTTACCCTCATTTTCAGCCCCTTGCTGCAAAGTATACTTCCTTCTTGAAGGGAGTTGCTATGCAGATATGAACAGCTGGTGCTTCAGGCTGTGTGTGTACGTGTATGCCAGCATCAAGCACATACACAGGGCAGCGTCTCACAGGAAGCAACATGCTCCCAGAGCAAGTCCTTTCTTCTAGGATCTACCTCCTTTTAGCTGCTAGAGGTCCTGCTGCTGAATCGCTGCTTTCAGAAAGGGCAGAAGCTTTGTGCTTTTGCTCCTTATTTTATTTATCTGTGCTTGGTGAATCCCTGCTGTTAGTGGAAGAGTGTAGTGTCCTGTCACTCAGCCTGTTTCTGGCCCAGCTGATCCTGACTGCCTGGAAAGAAGCACTTCTGAGCCATTTTTCCTGCTCTTAACTGTATTGTTGTGCTGCATATTTTGTACTAGTCCAGTTCTTTCTGTGCTCCTGTGCGAGCAAATATCATCCCTAAAATAACAAAAACCAAGCCTCACAAATAAAACTAAACGATTTTCTGTGATTCTAATTAGTTAAATTGGCTCAGCTTAGGTTCTAAAAGGAAAGAGTGAATGTGTTTAGCTGAGAGTGGGCTGGTAAGGAAAGGATGTGACCCAGGGGGGTACGATTTGTTCTTAGTGGCAGCAGCAAGCTATTATGTCTGCTCACTAAGAGAGTTTGCAATCTTTACCTGTCTTTGTGTTTCAGGAGACCTCCATGAGCAATCTGGGCACCGAGAGGCTAGGTCATATTGTTAGTGATCCGCGCCAGAAAGAGTAAGGCCCTTAACAGCTGTTGTAGAGGGGACCTTTGGGAGGGGACGAAGAACTATAGGGTCCCCTTCCCTCCTGGGACTGAAGGGAATGAAGAGCTGGGTAGTAACTTAAGCATAACCTATGGAATGGGAGACAGTACTCTACTGATGGCTTCTCTGTTTTCTTACTTGAAATTGCTGCCCCAGTGTGTGGACACTGCTCAAATGTCCTTTTGTTTACAGCCAGCTTTTTCTTTCCTCCTCCCTTATTATGTTCCATAACTGCAGATCTTTTGCATGGTAAGAGGAGACTAAGCCCTATATGTTAATTTTTTTTAATGCTTTGGTGTGGAGTCACACTATGGGTGCATACCCAGATTGGAGAAATCATGCTGACAAGGCAGCCATGAAATTGCTTTCTCTTTCTTTGTTGTTCTGTCTCCTTCCCCAGTTAGTGTATTTAAATTGTAGTCATAATTGTACATAAATTGAGCAACTGGAAATAGTCATGGTGCCTATCCCTTGATATCCCTGGAATGCTATTCTTGCTGGGGAATGGGTAGGTAAGGATGGTACCTCTTGAGTGCAGTGCAATGGGTTCAGCCTTCACCAGCTGTTGATATCTAGGTTTCTTCCTTGGCTTTGAAATTTCTTGTTTTCAATATGAGTCCTGATGATGTTTAATCTTTTTCCTTCTCCCTCCATCTTTGTTCTTCCCTTCCCCTTCTCTTCTTATCCCCAACCCTCCTTTTTTTCCCCCCCATGTTTGTTCACTGGCATTGCTTCCACCTGTTCTTTCGACTCTGCCCTCCTTCCAGTTTTTGGTTACCATCCATGGGGAAGAGAAATCGCAACCAGGTAAGCTGACTCTGCTCTTCCTTTTTTATTTTCTTGGTTTCCTTCTCTCTAGAAAGATAACTGTGCTGGCTTCTGATTTCCCACACATTGTGACCTGTGCACACGAGGTAAGGCAGCCCTGTCCCTTTTCATTTTGTTAACTGATGTGTCTTCTGGGCTTTGAACACAACCCATTTCTCAGGCATTATACTGTCTATTTAAACTGAACTCCTTCTGTTTATCTCCCTGTTTTAGGTCAGTGTAGGCCTTCTTCTCTGACAGTAAGTGGGAGGAAAAATGCTTTCTGACAGGAGGAGCTTTGGCCTCTCAAAATTCCATAAGAATTGGAACATTTTTCTTTTTTTAAATGCTTTGTTTTGCCTTTTTTGGCTCAGGCTTCTACTTGATAGTCTCATCAACAGAGAAGGTTAAAAATGGTAAGCTTAAATGGTGCAGTTAAATAGCAACTGTAACAGGAAAATGTAAGAGGTGATAAGCAAGAAAAATAGGCATTCTTGTAACTGAAACTCTTGTGTATGCACTTTTACATTCTCCAGTAAGTCTTTCTTAGCTTCAGCGCTAGGAGGCTTTTTTACTTAAGATATAAGAGCTCAGGTTCTTAATAGCAGAAAGCAAAAAGGATCTTCACTTTGAGCAGCCGTTTTGTAACAGTGTTCCTGGCCATGCACGCTCCTTTCTATTCCTCTGCGGATTGTTTTATGGTTGGTGAGCACTAGGACTGAAATCTGTTTTCCTGTTCAGGTGACTACAAATACATACATGGCAAGAAATAATTTTCAGGCCTTTGTACAGCTGTGTATTTTCCATTAACAGGAATATTTCACATGCTGTTTTTATATTGCTAAAGATAAGAATGATAACTATGTAGAGCTTTAAAATGACCAAAATAAATTACTTTTGTTTTTCTTAAATGAACTTGAATCAGCTACAGAGCATTCCTGGCAAGTCTCCCTGCTGTGCAGTGGCAGTGTTACTTCACTGACAGTAAACTAACAGTCCCACTTAAGGAGGAGCTCCCTGATGGCAGTAGCTTTGTGATACATCTTGTTTCTCAGAAAGGTTTAGGGTAAAGGCCTAGTACTGAGTCCTGGAGTTCAGATAGCTTATATGATGAGTCCTGCTACAGCTGTAGATTGTTCATTTGTTCTTATTTAAGAATACATCATTATCCTAGTAATACAAGAAAAGTGTTCTGGAGATTGGTGTAGCACTTTGGAAACCAGATGGAAATGAATTTCCTGCTTGAGGTGTGAATTATAAAGAGGAGATGCTGAATAGAAGTGTAATGCAGATACCCCAGAGAAACTACCACTCTAAACCTTCTATTTACATATTGAGCAAAGTTTGCTCCGTGCATTGATTGACCAGATTATTCCATTCTGTCCTGGCTATTGTATCTTTTACAACAAACTATCTTGTGCAGATTTGATGCCTTCAGGATTTGTCTAATGTGTGTCTAACAAAGGATCTTAGATTAGGCTGATTAGCAGTATTTCAGGAGTTTGTTTTAAGCAGTTTGCAAAGGCAGCTTGTGAGGTCAGTTGGGAGTGGAAGGGGCAGCTCACTTGCTGTGCAATGAATTGGGAGCTATTTGTGAACTGAACCTGGTGGACCTGAGTATTCTAGAGGTCTGTTTCAGTGATACATACAGCCATAGGGAATATGGGAACTGCTCTGTGGGAAGTTCTGTGCTTGCACCATTCGTAACAGTGACTTTTCTTTCTACAATGTGAAGGTAGACAAGAGGCTTTCTGAAAGAGAAGCAAACATTTTGCTCAAGGCGTGCAGCAGTAGAGCACTTATGCTCTTAGTCAACCAGCATTTTTAATAAAGTGAGTTGAAAGAGGAGTGTGCTAAGGCTGTCTGTTGTGAGATTTTCTGTTGCCCCCTTTGTGTTAGCCTTTTGTCTGAAGTGAGAGTCTGTTCTCATCTAGTTTCACCCCTTGAGGTGTTGGAAAGGTCTCCTTTGTGTGAACAACTGTAGGGAATAGATTTGAGCAACTGTATCTGGAGACTATTTCTTTTAACAGTTTGCTTAAATAAAATCTCTTGACTTTCCAGTTCAATCCATTATCTCCTCTGTACTCTCTGGATGTGCTTGCTGATGCTTCCCACCGAAGATGCTCACCAGCACACTGCACTGCCAGGTAACTCCCCTGCTCTGCTCTGTTGTCTCACTTCCCTCTCATAGGTGTTTTTCAGTAGTACTGTGTGGTCTTGTGGTGGGTTGACCTTGGATGAACACCAGGTGCCCACCCAGCCACTCTACCAGTCCCCTTCCCAACCGGACAGGGGAGAGTCTAAGCTGGGAAAACAACTCGTGGGTTGGGATAATGCAGTTTATTTAAAGCAAAAGCGAAGGAGAAGCTTGCGCGTGCAAAAGTGAAGCGAAGTGAAAGATAGCACGGTGTATTCTCTACTTCCCATGGGCAGCGATGGTCGGCCACTCCCGAGCAGCAGAGCTTCAGCACGTGTGATGGTTCCTCAGCTGGCTACCACTGGAGACAATGAATGCCTGCCTTCCTGCTCCTTGCCTTAGCTTTTTTATCTGACATCATATGGTCTGGAATATCCCTTTGGTCAGTTTGGGTCAGCTGGCCTACTTGTGTTCCCTCCCAGTGTCTTGCCCTCGATTGAGAAAGGAACATCACAGTGCTGATGCTGTGCTCAGCAGTAGCTAAAACACCAGTGTGTTATCAAAACCCTTCTAGGCACCAGTGTGCCTAGGCACAGCACTGTGAGGGCCACTGTGGGGAAATGAACTCCAGCTCAGCCAGACCCAATACAGGTCAGAACAATACTCATGGACCTTACTGTAAGTTAACATGCTTTTCCTGTGTTCAAACTTAGCATAAAACCTACTGATGCAGTTTATTTGAGAGTCTCAATAACCTAAGTGCTTATAGTATATGAAACAGTGTACGACAGACAGGCAGGTTATTTAGAAACAACTGTAATCTGTTCTGGAATGTGCAGTGAGTTGCTGCAAGACTGCTGTATAGGTACAAATGGGCATAGTATCGTTGTCCACTATTAGAATCAGAAGAAGATGAAAGGGAAAGTGCTGACAAGCTCAGGTGGGTGACATGCTGAGGCGTTTTGGTATCCTGAGTGTCTAAAATAGACTCTCTGAGCAGATTCAGAACTCACCTGAGGTGACCTCTAATGGTTTGATATCTCTCTCTCTTGCTATAGCTGAAATTTAGATCTGGTCTGGCCAAAGTTAAGTATATTTGAGTCTGCATAGTTGGGGCTAATATACTATTCAGACACCTTCTGCTGACTAATCTTAAATTAAATTCATGTGTTGGCCTTAGAGGTGACTCCTGTTCTTGTGCTGCAGGTGACTATCTAAAGGTAAGGTGCCCTTGAGCTCTTTCCTCATGCACATAGACAAAGCCTTGCTTTGGGCACAGTTCTGCATATGTGCTTGTACGAGGGACCAAAACTGAAAGAAACGTCTGGACTCTCAGCTTCATGGCTTTCTTTTCTTGTTAATTAGCAAATAGAGCATGAAAAATGTACTAAGGTTGTATGTGTCTGAACGGAAGCTTGGCACCCACCCAACAAAGCCTCTCCTCCCACTGGCTTCTGCAGGGAATTTTGCGATGTCGCACCATGACCTCATGCTGCTGTAGCCAGCATGTTAAAGCTGGAAAGGGGGAGGGAGGAAGAAATCAGCTCTTAAATGTTCCACTGGACAAGAATAAAAAGAATTCAGAAGATTGTGCATCAGCAAATTGGTTCCTTTCTGTGCTTTTGCCCCACTCTGGGGATGTTTTCTGCCTGTGAAGCAAGAAAATTGATTGGTTCTTCATTTTCAGCTAGCATTACCTTTCTTGTGCCTCCAGTGTTTTACTTGGGGGTCTATAGGAGTTTGTCTTCCAGAAAGGAGAGCTGGACAAATCCTGCTTGCAAATTCAAACTGGGCAAAATCTCTGCCTTTATGATGATTACTGAAGGCCCTTTCCAAATCCAGTCTGTTTCCAAAGGGATTTCTAAACCTAGCTACTATTTTAGTGTCAAATGTGCTCAAGAACCTTTATAGGAGAAAGAAATAGGAAAAGAATGAATGTGTTTTGTGGCCCCATGTATATGGCAAGGATTGAACTCTTTGGTACAAGGTGCTTTCTTTATGTAAAGATGCTGCTGAGGGCACAAAATGAAATGGTTCCTTCACAGAAATGTTTCCTTGAGAGTAGTTTTTCTTCAGGTGCTTTACACAGCAAACCTACTACTTAGTAGTCCTATTCCTTACAGGAGGTTCAGGTGATCTCTAAGCTCTGTTTAGCTGTTGCCCCAGTTAACATCTCCCTCTTTTGCCATGGACGGAATCCATTTCAGTAGTTGTGCTTTAGGAAACTGAAACAGCTTGCACCTCATCCTGGAGAAACTATACTCAGAAGTTTGTCAGAATGGGATGTGTGTGTGTGGGAAGCCAATCCCCTGAAATAATATGAAATGCATTAGAGAAGAAATTGTCTTGCTGTTGTGGATATCCAGTATCTTCAACCTGATGCCCACTGTGCCATGCAAAATTGCTTCTCTCTGGTTAGCTTCTGCAATCACCAAGTGTGTCCAAAGGAACATTCCCAGGTGGAGTCTTTCTCTGCTGTGGAAATGTTTTCTTTGTTTCAAGGGTGGATTTTGGTGCAGTTTGTCTGGAGGGCTGGTACCCCAGTGCTTTGTTTAAGTAGAGCTGAAGACCAGAATACAGAGCCCAGTTGGGGGTGTTCAAGAAAGGCTTGCCAGTGTCAAGGAGGAGGTTCTATGTGGAGGATTCCTTGGGAAGTCTTATTTGAAAGGCTGTATAAATTGTACACTACCAAGATTACCTTTCTTGATTTATGTCTGTGATGAGATTTCATTCAAAGTGTATGCACAGCACTGGGAATTTCACACCCATCATTAGAAGCCGTTTTGTGTGTGTGGTGACTGTTATCATTAGTGGTATAATTTTATTTTGTGAAGCAAGGAGAGTTTCCTGCTTTCTTGCAGTCCTCCCAAGGGATGGCTGGTGTATTAATTTGCTGTATTGCCTCCTGGCTGTTCCCAGACTGTTTTTCCTCTTCATCATGGAATTTTTAATGGCCCTGCTGCCTCTCGGGAGGCATGCAAGGAAGAGTACCTCAGGGATGTCTTCTTTTTTTCACATGCCTATAATTACTCTCCTTTAAGAGCACAAAGCGTTTGCTAATCATGTCTTGTCTGTTAAGGTTTCGACTTCATGATGCAGGCTGTTAAAAGCAAGCAAGTAGAGACTTGCATGCGCAAATGATCCTTTCCCTCCTTCCCCTCTGCCCATTTGCCTCTCTGGGAGAAAGAGTGGTCTGAAAAGAATTTTCTTCTCGAACTCCTACTTAAGAGGGTTTTGTATAGGCTGAAGTTGAATACCTAATTAGATTTTGGTTATTCAGTGGTTTTGTTGGTGGGAAGATGTTATAGGTTATGAGTTGATGGAATGTTATTGCCTTGAGGCAGGGTAAGAGTTTCAGAAGAGCCTAGAACCAATAGTCCCTTCAATTTGAGCCTGAATGGCAGGCAGAATAAGAAAGGAAGGTAGAAGATAAATTGTTCCTAATGCCATTTATATTTGTCTAGCCTTGAAAATAGGATTATGGGTGGTGAAAAATGCAATTAAATGTTCCCACTGCAGGTCATAGGACCTCGGATGGCAGGTAGATGTTGGAGACTGAAGAACTGTATTAGACATTTGAACACTACAGACAATGAAAATTGTTTTGCATGTACTCTCAGTTAATATTAACTGTAAATCTAGAGTTTAATTTGATTTAGAAGTAAATCTGTTATCTTGCCTGAAACAAGGGATAAAGATGTAGAGGGATGAGTGATCTTCTCATAAACTGCCAGTTGCTCCATACCATGGGTTTGGTGTTGCTGTTAAATTGAACAGACTTGAACGTCTCAAATTCCAGTTCCAGCTCTAGAAATATGCTCGTGAAAGTAACTCTTGATCTGTCACTTCTGTATCTGTGCAGAGATCTTGCTGTTTCTGCCTCTTACCCAAGCGTGTGGAAATACAGGGGTTGCCTGCAATGTCAAGGCTTTTCTGAGACAGCTGAAGGAGTGAAAAAGTGTTCACAATTTCATACTTTCCCATTTGACCAGGAAGTATCCAGTTCATTCCATGGAACCTATCCACACATCTTTATCTTTCTTTTCGTTAAGGAACATGCTTTATGTAAAAATGTCTGCGTCAACTGCTTTAGGCATCTTTCTATTTTTTTTTTAACTCCTTTTCCATTTAGTTAGAGAACTTTCATGTCTTCCTTTGCTAAAGCCTGCCTAATATTCCAATTGGGGATATAACTGAATTCTTCTGACAGGCATGCAATGAACAGCAGCTATCAACCTAGTGTCACATGCAGTTGTCTGAGGCCTAATGCTCCCATTTTGGTGAATCCTAATTCTCTGGAGTGAAAAATAAATTCCCCTTGGCTTCAGAAATTTTTTTACTTGCTATTTCAAATCTATGTACTCAGCAGGTCTGGCAAATATTAGGAGTCTTCCTGTCACAGATATTGTGTGATTCAGTGTGAAAATAGAGAATATAATATATGGGATCAAATAATCTCTGCTTAGAATGCTTACATGGAAAACAAGAGGAAAATGTGTTCACTTGCATTTGCCACACACGGGCTTTTAGGGTTGGAATTGCCACATCATTACAGTGCTTACTTGGGGAACAGACCACTGCTGTTCAAGACCTGTAAGATTTGTGCGATTTAAGAAGTGAGCAGATCTTTTAGTGATTTTGGAATATGAAAATGTGCTCTAGAAGCTTTCCCATGAGGCACTGCAGGGCATAGGAGACTGCTGAGCACAGGGAATATCTACAGTGAGATGTGATGGCAAGAACCACTTGCACACAAAGCTCCCATGGGTGAGCAACTTGTATGGATTTACACATGTTATGTGCAGATCAGACTTTGGTGCCCAGCTGGCTCCTGTAGTCAAAGAGGAGGAAAAATTCTGCTTTTACTATTAATTTTGTGAAACCACCATCAACAGCCTCAGGTAACACCTGAGGGCTTAGAGAAAGAGCCTTTCATTTGGCCTGTGTTTGCTGGGAATATAGCATCACAACACCAACAGCTGAGTTGTTGGGAGTTTTAGTAGCAGTATC